AGGGGGGGTGGGCAGTGATTTGCTTTTAAATTCATCCAGAAGGCAACATTTACTAGGTAAGCCTTTTCTTCTTTTCTTTTCTTTTTTCTTCCCTGCTTTTTTTTTTTTTAATTTTTTTGGATTGAACTATTGTTTAAACATCTCCTTCAGTTCTCATTACTTGAATCCCAGTTTCACTGTTAATCCTTCCTCCCTAATCTATCTTCATTTCAGTTACCCTAAAAACTCTGTGGGTGTCAGAACTGGAACCTGAAGTTAAGTAACAATAAAGCGACAAAAAAAGTAGACTTCATGATGTATTAAGAATTCAGGCTTTTAAGACTCTTAGCCATCCTCTCCTTTTTTTTGTTCTCTCTTGGAGAACAGAACAAACCCAGATCTGTCCTTACCTAAGCAAATCACTCCAGCATCCTCAGCATGATCGCAATTATGCTTTCCCCATCCTTGGTGCGTGCAGTTCCAGAGAGCTGACTCATTTCCATTGCATACAAGATCATCAAACCAGATTGGTCCTGAACCTTCTCCAAAATTAGCTGAACCAGAGAAACTGACAGCACTTCCACATTCAAGCTGTTTACAAACCACAGAAGCATGATCTATGTTGAAGTTATCATCACACACTGTTCCCCACTGTCCTTGGAATTTGACCTCTATTCTTCCTGAACACCGGTTTCCTCCATTCATCAGCCTCAGCTCCAGATCAGACCCATCTAGAGCAGAGAAAAGACCAGAATCTTTATTTTAACCTTTCTTTATCACAAACAATTCAGAGCATGAATAATTTGTCTGAACTTGAACTTGAAATTAGAAAACAAAAGAAAAGAAAAAAGCATAAGTATGCATAATAGTTTGCAAGAACACTTTGTTGTATACTAAGTTATTAAAAATTGGGGGAAAAATCAGTTAAAAATAATTCATTTATTACCAATTTCTTGTGTAAACCAAAGGTTTTGTTTGTGTGTTTTTTTTCCCCCACCCCCAAAGCATCTGGTACCATTTTTAGCAAAAACAGCTTTTTTATTAAGAAAATTTCTCTATACACTTTTCATTATATTTTCTATGAGGACTAAAATGCCTGAGAAAAGGAAATTTGGGATGAAATTTTGGGAAATATGAAAAACAAAATCTGTTTGTTTTTGAACAAAATGTTTAGAAACCACTTTTGAAAAAGTAATTCAATTTTAAAAGCTCTAAACTCCAGGCAAAGACTTCCACTTAACAAGATTTTTTTATTATTATGAATGATTAATAATAATAATAGCTCAAAATCAAAATATGCATATGCTTTCCCAAGTGTATCAGATATGTTCTCTTCTTTAGGCTTCACAACTTTAAGCATCATGTGTTATTACCACTATCCCTACTTTACAGATAAGCAAACTGAGGTTAAATAGCTGGCACAGGATCAAACACCTAGGATGGGGGGGGAGCAGTGTGGCACCAGAGCCTATTCTCCTTACGGTCATGCTGTATCCCCCCTGTGCACGTGATAATAATAAAATCTCCCTGAGAGGCAGAGGCTCCAAGGATTGAGCATTAATTGGGGTGAAGGATCTCAGAAATGCAGAAACTTCCTGAAACTAGTAAATTGAGTGGCTATGCACCGGTTGGAACATAAATGTGTAAACTTGTAAAAGCAAGTTTAAACAACTCCATCCCAAGGCATTAAAAGAAGAAAGGAAGAAAGAAAGAAAGAAAGAAAGAAAGAAAGAAAGAAAGAAAGAAAGAAAGAAAGAAAGAAAGAAAGAAAGAAAGAGAGAAAGAGAGAAAGAGAGAAAGAGAGAAAGAGAGAAAGAGAGAAAGAGAGAGAGAGAGAGAGAGAGAGAGAG